GTCCCCACAGCACCCATAGAGACGGGGCAGTTGAGAGGCTAAATTGCCCCTTGTCCCCACAGCGCCCATAGAGACGGGGCAGTTGAGGGGCTAAACTGCCCCTTGTCCCCACAGTGCGCAGAGAAACGGGGCAGTTGAGGGGCTAAATTGCCCCTTGTCCCCACAGTGCCCATAGAGACGGGGCAGTTGAGGGGCTAAATTGCCCCTTGTCCCCACAGCGCCCATAGAGAGGGGGCAGTGCCCCTGTCCCCCCAGGCCCGGGCTGGGCAGTGTAGGGCCCCGGGGGGCTCCGGCGCAGGCCCCTCCTCCCGGCGCAGAGCCCTCCCCGCGGCCGCCCGGCTGATTTCCAGGAAGCCTCCGGCCAGCCGCCCTGCTGAACTGTCACCCGCCGGGGCCGCCCACTTCCCCCGGTGCCCCCGCGGACACACAGGGCGCCGAGCGGCCGCCGGGCACTCGGGCGCACCCGGGGACCTCCTGCCCCTTGCACCCAGCTGCGGCGCCCACCATGAAGCTCTTGCTGCCCCTACTGTGCTTGGCCACCGTGGCCGTGGCACCCGTCACCCCGGTAAGTGCTGGCCACGGGCAGGGGCACCTCAGGGCCTGCCCCGCGTGCGTCCCTGGGACACCCTCGCCCAGGTGCCTTCACCCAGGGGCCCACGCTGGAGTCCTCCTCCCCTCTTGCCCTTCCTCTGATCAAACTGCAGAGGCTGCAGCTGGTGCCATCTCCTGCCAACCGCCTGAGCGCAGGGGAGGACGCGGGTGGGATGAGCTCCCCCGTGCCCAGGAGCCATGCCCACCCCAAGGCGGTGCCCAGCTGGGCTGCAGAGCAGAATGTCATAGAGATCTCCAGGCTGGGCATGGAGGGGGTCACGAGGACAACGAGCCCATCTCTACCTGGCACCGATGCCCTTCTGGAAGGAGCACCCAGCCTGGCTGCAGAGCAGAACATCATAGAGAGCTCCAGGCTGGGCACGGAGAGGGGCATGGGGACAACGAGCCCATCTCTGCCCGGCACTGATGCCCCTCTGGAAGTGGCGCCCAGCCTGGCTGCAGAGCAGAACTTCACGGAGAGCCCCGGGCTGGACGCTGAGGTGGCCATGGGGACAACGAGCCCATCTCTGCCTGGCACCGATGCCCCTCTGGAAGCGGCGCCCAGGCTGGCTGCAGAGCAGAACTTCACGGAGAGCCCCGGGCTGGACGCTGAGGTGGCCATGGGGACAACGAGCCCATCTCTGCCTGGCACCGATGCCCCTCTGGAAGCGGCGCCCAGGCTGGCTGCAGAGCAGAACTTCACGGAGAGCCCCGGGCTGGACGCTGAGGTGGCCATGGGGACAGGCAGCAGCAGCCCCGTCCCCGCAGAGCCCCAGGGGCTCCCTGAGCACACAGCAGCCAACGGCACCACGGCGGCACCCGTGCCCAGCACCACCGAGGGGCCCGGCAGTGCCCTCAGCACCACCGCCCCGCCGTGCCCGGAGGACGAGGAGCCCCCCGAGAGCTGCGAGGCACCCACAGAAGCGCAGAAGGCCGCGGTGGCCGAGGCGCTGGGCACCTTCGCCCTGCGCTTCTACCAGCGCCTGGCGGACGCTGCTGAGCCCGGCTCCAACCTGCTCTTCTCGCCCATCAACGTGGCCTTGGCGCTGTCGCACCTCCTGCTGGGTGAGGGGCAGGGCCCTGCCCTGGGCACCGCCCTGGGCACCGCTGTGAGCCCCATGATGGGCACCATGGTGGGCACTGCTGTGGTCACCAAGACGTGACCAAACGGTCACACTTGTGTGACCAGTGGTGATGTCCACTGTGGAGATCACCACAGACACCACCATGGGCTCTGCTCCCTGTGGAGCTGTGGGCACCACCATGGGGATCACCATGGGCATGGCCATGGGCATTGCTGTGGGCACCACCATGGACAATGCTGTGGGCACTGCTATAGGCCCTGCCATGGGCACTGCCATGGGCACTGCTGTGGGCACTGCTGTGGGCACCGGCAAGGGCACCACCATGGGCATTGCCGTGGGCATTGCTGTGGGCATTGACGTGGGCATCACCATGGGCACTGCTGTGGGCATTGCTTTGGGTACTACCATGGGCATGGCCATGAGCACTGCTGTGGGCATCACCCTGGGCAATACTATGGACACTGCTATGGGTCCTGCCATGGGCACTGCCGAGGGCACCACCATGGGCATTGCTGTGGGTACCACCATGGGCACCACCATGGGCATGGCCATGAGCACTGCTGTAGGCATCACCCTGGGCAATGCTACGGACATTGCTATGGGTCCTGCCATGGGCACTGCCAAGGGCACCACCATGGACATGGCCATGAGCACTGCAGTGGGCACTGCTGAGCGCGCCGTGTGCCCGCAGGCGCCCGCGGCGAGACGCGGCACCGCCTGGGCGCCGTGCTGGCCTACCCGCCCGGGCTGCCCTGCACGCAGCGCTCGCTGCGCCTGCTGGCCAAGGCGCCGGGGCTCCTCTCCGCCTCGCAGATCTTCCACCACGAAGGTGAGCGCGGGCGCGGGCGGGCGCGCGGGCAGGGCGCCGCGCGGGCGCTGACGCCGCCGGCGGCGCAGAGCTGCGCCTGCAGCCCCGCTTCCTCAACGCCTCGCGGCGCCTGTTCGGGGCACCGCCACGGGCGCTGAGCGGCAACGAGAGCCTGGACCTGGCGCGCATCAACGCGTGGGTGCGGGAGGCGACGCGCGGGCACCTGCCGCGGCTGCTCGAGGAGCTGCCGCCCGACGCCCGCCTGGTGCTGCTCAGCGCCGTCTACTTCCAGGGTAGGACGGGCGCCCGCCCCCGAGCCCGTGGGGTCCCTGCGGATCTGCTCTGGGACCCGCCCTGGGCTTCACTGCAGGATCCGGATCTGCCCTGGGATCTGCTCTGGGGGGCCCCTGGGACCTGCCCTGGGATCTGCCCTGGGATCTGCCCTGGGACCTGTTCTAGGGATCTGCCCTTGGGATCAGCCCTTGGGATCTGCCTTGGGATCTGTTCTCTGACCAGACATGGCAACTGGCTCTGGGATCAGCCCTAGGACCTGTTCTGGGGATCTGCCCTCGGGATCTGCCCCTGGGACCTGCCCTGGGACCTGCTCTGTGACATGGGAATTGCCTCTGGGATCAGCCTTGGGATCTGCCCTAGGAGCTGCTCTGGGGGTTGGCCCTGGGGTCCGTTCCTGGGCTTGTCCTTGTCCCGGGAAGCGGCCATGGGATGTGTCCCGGGATCTAGCTTGGGATGTGTCCCCTGGGCTGTGGGAGCACTGGGCTGGGTGCGGGAGCCCCGGGATGAGCTGTGGGAGCACTGGGATTGGCCGCGGGAGCTGGACTGGGTGCGGGAGCYSC